ACCAATATACAAGGATACAGTGGATTTTGTTTTGACCAAGTGCCAACGTTACTTATTAGTGTATACTCGAAGATTTCGCGCAAACATAAATCAGGAAGTATGAGAGTCATGTTCGATGCAGAGGTATAGAATTAAGATTCAGCAGACTATTTATACAAAAATAGTAGCATTTAAGGTGGGAAAAAATTAAGAATTTAGAGTTGCACATATTGTAACGATCAACGAATATCTCGCCACAATTTTCTTTTACTCGAAATTTTTCTACGATTCGAATTTAATATTATATAATAATAAATTATTATTTGTTTAACTATTTTTTCTATGTTATATATATATTTTTTAAAAAACATTAAAAATTTTGCGTTATATTATTTTCCTATTTTAAACTATATTATGTAATCTTATACAGTAATCAGCTGCTCAAGATGATCTTATGACTCCGACACCAAATAGAATTACGTATGCTATCTCAAACGCGGATCCTACTATATCTGTCAAAGGTTGCACCAGGGCTAGGACTTTTTATGCAACCCTTTTTTGTCTCTTCAAAACTATCATACGTTTCTATCCAGTCCTATAAATATGAAGTTTAATTTAGGAGATGTCACCAGCGACCTTCGTCGTAACCTTACTGTAGTAAATTCTTTTGGTAATTTTACTCTGCATATTTCGGTCACTCGTCAAAAAAAAGAAACAAATCAATTTTGTTTATTTTTGTCACTAGCAAATCATAATTCTGGACTTACAAATTTCCATATTGATCACTGTAGTCAACAATGATACGAAACATTTGAGCAAATTTCTTTCTTCCGAGCGTAGCGTTTGGAATGCTCTTAGTACTTTGGCATATGAGCAAAGTGAAGCCTCTAAATGCATGGCTATTTGGGGAAGAAGCGAGGACGTTGATTTGTGCGATGTGACTGAAAAATTGAGTGTTTTGACAGCAAAGTTATCTGAATCCGAAAATGTTCTCGGTAATCAAATTTTATTAGATCAATATTGGCTTAACCACGTCCTAACAAACTCATCATCGAAACACTTCAGCTGATAAGTACGTACAATATCGTACGCACTTGAAAGAAATTCGCAGTCGCGAAGATAAAATGAAAGAACAAAGGACAAAAAAAGAATTACTATGGAGTAAGATAGAAAAGGAGGAACGTAAGTCTAAGAGGTCCGATTCTGTTGACCAGAAATTAAAAGATCTACATAAAGATATGGAAAATTTGCAGAAGGAAACTATCGAAGGTATCAACGAAGTTCATTCCCTAAATGTTTTTCGGTACTTTCCCTATCAATATTTTCACAATATGTAATGATATAACTAAATAGAAGAGACAAAATTGGCCGATTTCAAGCGCGAAAAGCTACGAACGGCATTGTTAGTGCAGTTGGATGCATTATTCGAATTTGGAGAAAAATTGATTATTTTAACTAGATACAGCAGAGACATTATCGACCAAATCCCCATTACGGATACGCATCCTGGCGAACCAAGAGCTCCTTACCTTGGTATGTTCTAGTCAATATTTTTTTTAAAAAAAAAAAAATTCCGTCATATTCATTATAAAATTTTATATATTCTTAGGTCAAGAGAAAACTTTACAAGCAGTTTCTAATGCCACAAAAGCCTTGGAAGAATGGACGCCTCAATCAACAGAAAAGTCTTCGGCACACTTACAAATATCTCAAGTAACGATGTCTGAAGATTCACAGGAAGAATTACTGACTACTGATCAGCCTGGACACGTCATCACACAACCACCACAAAATACCCCTAATATTGAGCAAGATGAATTTCATTTCGTTTCACATAAACAGAAGCCTCTTTCTGCAATATCTACAACAACACCCACAGAGAATATTACTTCTTCCAATGCTAAATATTATGAAGATCCGAACGAGGCTGATCACAGTGACCTAGATCAAACTACGGACGCGGATCAAGAACTCGAGACTCCGAGGAAGGTTCGGGAGGTTATTTCACATATCACCGAAGGGTCTATCACTGAGGCAACGAATATACCTTTTCATACTATACAAGTCATTCCAAGACCACCCACCCCACCAATTCGTCATACTAAATCAGTTTCTTTTGAAGAGGAAGAATCACCGGAATCATTGGCTGCAGACACTTCAGTTCAAGCTACCCAAAGCAAAGATCAAGAGATAGTCTCATCTCATGTTATTGAGTCTACTTTAGATTCATCGACAGAAGTACAGAATCAACAATCAGAAAAGCCTGCGCAGAATGATTCTGCAAACGACTCCGAGCCTTCTATAAAGGTGTCAGAACCTTCCATAGAGGCACCAGAACCCGCTATAGAAATTGATAACACTTCTCCACAGAATGAAATAAAACAACCTGCATCCTCAGAAACTCTCACGATACATAACTATAAAAAGCATGTGCATTTTAGTGATGTCGAAGATGAGATCCCGTAAGATCTATTTCATTTAGTATTCAAAAATAAATTTAACTCATTGTTGATAAGCATGTTTGATCATACTACTTTTATTCATGACATTATTAATCTTACGTTCTAGCATTTAAAAAATGATGGTACTACAAATTTCAATTATTTTAATTTTGAAAAAATAAGGATGTCCTTTTCCTAAATATTACTCATCTACCAAAAAATAACACATTCGAAATATGTGTATATTATCTATGATGGCATACATTGGCTTTAAAGAAATTTATGAATTTCCTCGTCATTCACTGATTCAACTCCAAAAAAAACGTTTTCTGAATCATTCTTTCGGTAAGGTGGTTTTTCGAAAACAATATTGTAATCCTCCGTAAAAAAATGATCAGTATAATGAATTTTTTCGGGTGCGAAATATCTCTCTGCTTCTTCATTATTGTGATTAATGATACAAATATTATTGTTAACCGAAAAGCTCCAATCATAATTGTCTTTATCGACATCGTTAATTTTATTTTTTCTTGGTGGGCCCCTTGGAGTAGGTTTTTTAAATAGACAGACCTGACCGTCATTCTGGCATTTTGAGCACACAGAATATCCCGTGCACTTCACTTTTTTCTCCCTGCAGTAATTGCACGATACGGTATTTTTTCTTCGTTTATTTTGATTATTTGATTTCTTCATTAGAATCAAATACCGGATCATGGGAATCTTGGAATGTGTCCAGAGTTTATATTTACAAGTTATTCGGCTACGTATCTTCCATATTCAGAGACAATAACGTGTAGCACTAAATTTTAATTTTGTGTACAAATCTGGAAATATATGACGCGTAACTGATTTTTTAAAACGAAATTTAAACACTAAACTAATATTTTTATATAATAAATATAAAAATTATAATAATATTTTCATGCAAAGATATTTAATATACTCTTGACATTTCCTTATATCAATAAAACAAATAATTATAATATTCAGATAAGTTAAAATATTTGATATGCTCCTAATATTTCATTATATTAATAATAAGTGATATAATATTTAGTTTTTTTTTAAAAAAACAAAAAATATATATTATATATATTATTAATTATATTTAAATTTGTAAAATTATCAATTAATCTATATATAAATTATTAATGTAATAATAGCAAATATAAGATTTAATAAAGTCTTGCATTTAAGATTAATTTGAAATTAAATAAATGAATATACTGTATATATTGTAAAATTATCAAACTGGTATTGAAATAATATTGAAACAGTACTAATCTAAGTAAATTTAATATATGAGTTATGATTTAGTTATATAAAATATAAATTTATAGAATAGTTATAGTACTATAATACACTCCCTGGCCAAAAGTTTAGGACCACCTAATAAAATTTAAATAATTGTAAATAATTTATTATTATTATTAT